TATCGGAATTAATGCTTAAAACATCTCGTAAATTATATTATAAAATTAATACCATAATTTTATTTAAAACTTATTATACATTAATACCTTAAATCTTTAAATATAATATTAATAATATTTAAATATTACTTATTATTATTTCCGCTTTTATATTATTCGAATTTATTTTTAAAAACTTAATTTTTAATAAAGCTTATAATTATAATAAAATTGATTAAGGTTTAATATTACGTTAATATTGATAAACATTTTATCATTTAATAATTATAATTTATATATATATTATATTTTTTATATAACCTTTTATTATACGTTTTTAATAAATTAATTAAACCTTATATATAAATTCGAATTACGTTAATACGTCTTTTTTTTATCGATATTATTTTTCATAATATAAATAATAAATTTATTATTAAATTTATCCTTAACATTAATAAATCATTCGATATAATAATATCGTTCATTTATATATAAGCGAATAATTTATAATCTTTTTACAATAAAATTTACCTTTATAAATATATATTTCTTTAATTCCTTAAAAAAGTTTTAAAAAAAAACCATAAATTACCGTAACGATTAATTAATTTAATTATTAACGATAAATATTTTACTCACATAAAACCATTTCTAATTTATTACTTTAATCTTTTCTATAATAATGTTATCATTATTAAATCATTTAATATATTAAATATAATTAATTAAGAAGGCATTTATATTATATTTTAGGAATTAATTAACTTCTTATATTTCTTTTAAACCATTTTTCGATTTTTTAATTTACTAAATTAATATAATAAAATAAGGTAACCGATAAATCTTAACGAAATAAGGAAATAAATAAATAAGAAAACTTACATAATAATAATATAAGAAATAAAATAAAATATTTATATAAATTATATATTATTTTAAATATTTAATAATAAAAATATTTAAGATTTAATTAATATTATATATTTTTTTGTAAGAGATAAAATAAGTTTTTATAAAAGAATTATAAATTATTTTAAAAATATATAAATTAAATAAGTTTTCGAAAAATGGTTTCGTAATAATCTTAAAATAATATTATTTTACTCTTTTATTTAAGCCATTATTATTCTTTAATTATAAAAGCCATAATGATTTATTTTTTGTAAAATTTAAATTTAAATTTATAATATCTTTTTTAATTAAGATAAAACGCTTACCATATACCGTCACATACTTAAGCCACAACCTATTTTATCCTCTTTCCCATCTAAAGTAAAAGAGGTTTCTTAACTTATAAAGTTTAGTAATCTTTCCTAATCTAACAAATAAGTTAAAACTCATTAAGAAAAAAAAACGATATAATATCCCTCCTAAAACTCGGGCATTCGCGTATAGAATCAACCGGGGGCAGTCCGAGTATTCCCAGTGACATTGCTTAAGAAATTCACCCTTTCAGTTTGAGTTGGCCAAATTACTTTTATAACTCGGACTAGTAAAGGATCGATGGAGACGGAGCTATGTTCTGGTGCCAGGATTGTAAAGAGAAGAGCCCGATTACGTAATCATTAGAGACTCGAGTCAGTCTGTGGCGACCTCGACGTTCTCGATCTCTTCCATTTGAATATATAGTACACTTTAATCAAATCATCCCAATGAAGTACGGAAGTATAACTAGTTTACATCGTTTTAATAGTTGAATTCTCACCCGTGAGCGCAATATAATGGCCGTGGTAACTGCTTAGTTATAAATGTCTCTAGGAAATGGGATAGTCTACGTATTCGAACTACAAAGCCTCCCGGGAGTCTAAAACAGTTGTCCATTCAACAAATTTACTTGGGATTGCCATATAATATTCACAATTCGTAAGGGGATGGACGAGATCTGGCGATGAATGCAGCTTTTATTCTAAGACATCTTAGGGGTATTTGAAGCGTGCCGAAGATTGAACCACAAGGGAATCAACTCCGTCATTCCATGCCAACTCGACAAAAGGAAAGGTCATGTCTGTTCCAAGACGCCCATATAAACATATTCCCCCAATCATCCCATCATACAATCATGGAGTTGAAGTCGAATAAGGGGGAGTCTAGTGCTTAGCAGCCTCCTTGTTGACGTCGGCAGAAGTGTTGTGCTTCTTCTCGTCTACCTTGTCGCCAACGGCATCCTTGGCAGCAGATGCGCTGAATCGATGTTAGTGACTGAATCTGGATTAATGGTAACAAGTAGTGAGGCTTACCGAGTGCCCAGGTTGGCGTTGTTGTCCTTGGCGACCTCCTTGTTCGCCTCCTTGGAAGCGGTGCTGGTAGCTCCCTTGACGGTGTCAGAGACGTAGTTGGCGGCGTTCTGAATCTTGTCCATTGTGATGATGTGGTTGATTTGTGTGTGTGTTGATTTGTAGTTGTGCTGATATTCGTAGATGATGATTGACAGTTGTTGATGATGATGAGAAAAGAAGATGGAATTCAGATGGAAGTAAAGTGACTTTATATAGAATGCTTGAGGGGGTTGCTTGTCACTATTCAACAGCTTGGAAAGTGTTGGGTACGCTTTAGCTTCCCTGCCTTGCCAATTGCCTACCTTGGTCCACAGGCACCTAGGTGAGCTAGGCACATCATGTGAACGAGCGAAGTACGTCACCATCTATCCAACCTTTGTCCGATCCCCAGTAAGACATCCCGCTTTAGTTCGGATTCCTACCTGCCTAGGCATGCACGCAAAATGCTTGCCGCCTCATATTCTCCGTACTACCGGACGGGAACTACAATAAGCCATTGGGCTTTCGGCCTCCCCTGAATTGCCTGACGTCACCACTTACGAAGGATATACGGAATTTGAAGTTCCCCTGCAAACATAGCCCATGCCGAGACGTTATCAAGACATGTGAATTGCCATCTAATACATGTATACATGTATTACTATAGATCTAACTAGGATACTTGCAGGCCGATATTTCATCATGATCAACATCGGGGATACCCATTCTCTCGGTTTGGTAAGGGTAAGTACGTACCGTAAGTGACATCGTGGGGGAGTGACGACGGAAAGCGACAATCGACATGCATGATGTCTTAATTCCCTTTTTGGGAACGCTCAGCCAATCAAATCCCATCCACCCGTGAGCCTATAGTCCTAAAAGCTTAGACTGCCGCAGGGGAAATTTTAAAAAGGCTATTTGATTGGTTGCCTTGGTAGAGGAATATCCATAATGACAACATGACTTTTTGTGCCATTATTCTGTGGAGAGTTCCGGGCCTAGACCGCGGTCCGAGATACATGAGCCTCTTCGTACTCTTGGCCTTCGAGAAAACAAGGTTGGGTAAAAAATCACCGACATCTACGATTTCATCATGACGATCTCGATTGGCTTTCTCCACTCGCCCCCGCTAATCTTGCTTCATACTTTGGGTCAAGCATACATCATTTAGGTCAGCAGGGCTATGCGTAAGCCTCATGCACGACATCGGTGGAAAGTATTCTGCAGTGTAAGCCACAAAGTTGCCTCTCACCTCAATTCGGCTTCTCAATGCTTTCGTACTCCCATGGACCGGAGAAGAGGGTCCGCTAGGCAAAGGAATGCGCGCATTTCTCATCTCCAACCTCTCGGCTGCCTTGTATTCCAGTATTTCAATATTCTTGGCTGCAGGTGTGCTCACGTAGGCCAACCAATATCTTTCCATTTCGGTTCAATTTCTGACTCTATCGTCGCGCAAACCTGCCCAGGAACCAATCCTTCACCAGCGGAGTTCATAGCAAAAGTGACGTCAATACATTCGTATCTTGGTCAAGGCACCATGCTTACCAAGCTTACCGAGCTTACCGTCTGCGTGTTGCCTGGCAACAAAGGTTATTCCCCCTAACCTAATGTCATAAATTTCCCCTTTCTATTCGGTTGAAAGCAAAAAATCCTCTACGCTTTATTAATTTCTCTTCGGAGGGACATGGACCTAATGCCCGTCTCGGTCTGAAATTCACTTAGATGTCTATAATTAAGGTGTCCCGAGTTACGCATACATTTTCTCTTAGATAACCTTCCTGAGAAGATACATTTGGAGGGATCCATTAGGCAGAGCCGGAGCCATTAGTTGATCAGCACGAGATCTCGTCGTTGGACGGGAGTACCCGAGCCCATCGACCAGGTTACCATATTCGTATGCCCTGGCCGAGGTGGTCTGGGAGAATACTAGCCACTGGAATACCGGATGGGAATTACTAATCCCGTCCCAATTTTGTCCCTTCTATATCCGCCGACTTCAGTTCTCAGGGCTGGCAAGTTGTTGACCCGTAAGTGGGATTTGAACGATTATGTTTGCTTCGCTTAGTTCACCTACAGGAAAGAAACCAACATTCTTTGATAGTGGGGTAGACCTTCGCTGCACGCTCGTCTTGGGGCAAGCCTAAGCGGGCAAGATATCCAGTTATGTACCTCCAGGAAAGTATCGACCAAGATACACTATAGCAACGGGTATTGTCCAACGGAAATAAGATGTAACCTTAATCTTCTAAACTCCTGCTGTTTTTGGATAATTCGGGATTTATGAGCAGTTACGCACCCCTGTGAGATACCTCATGACGTCGTCTTCTACGGTTCTTCGGTGACCGATGTTGGTAGGGCTAAATGCCAATAGAAATTCTCGGGCTTCTCCTTTTATGGAGCAGTAGAATAACGACAATGATTGCTGGCAATCTTCTGTGTTCTATCACTTCAAGATGTTAAATTAGTAATACACGGCTTCTCTCCTGGTTCCTGATTTATATGCGCTTGGGTATCGTTTCTCATTACAATATACCGGATACCTAGTTCACATTGAGTTCCTTATAATAACCGAGGCACGTTCTGAAAACCCAGGTTCTTCAGTGTAATGCCTACCTGTTGAAAAGTGGTTCATCATTTGACGCTAGCCCCTCCGGTGACCACGCTAAAGACGCTCCGTTCCATGCTATAGTCTAAGGGCATTTTAGCGTCAGGAACGGCTAAAAAAGAAAATTCTTAGGCAAGCTGCCCAAGATATGAATGTTGCGACGCAGGCCTGATTCGAACAGACGCCCCCGAAGGGAATAGATACGCTAGGATCTCTGATCAAGTTCAAAGACGTTCTAGTCTATCGCATTAGACCACTCTGCCACTGCGCCGTTAGCCAAGGTAGGCGATGAAATTTTTAGTTGTACATCTTTACTTATCTAGGCAGAAAACGATCGTAAACTGAGGCCCAACATTGCTCCAGGCCCATCTGGTTCGTTGGCGTCCTTCCAAGGTTAGGTACCTACACCTAAGGCATAATTCGAAAGATAGTGCCTTAGTCTGGCCACATCGTAAAACGGCGTCGCATCCTCTGAATGCTGCCATGCAAAGATCAACAGCTCGCCTAGACGGCGTAGATCTCACACGTCTGCGTTTAGCTACATATGTAGTCCTACTGACCTGAAGGCCACTTTTCATATATTGTCCCTAACAAGAATCCTAATTGTGGCTGAATTGCGCTCGACTTCAGATAACAGGTAAGCATATAAGAAGAGCTTCAAGGTTGATCACCGCAACAGGACGCTGATCGGCTCCCGTTTGTGGTGGTAGCGGGGTGCCCAGGGTCGTGGCGCAGTGCCTCGACACGAACGCAATAAGACAGTTGTGAGCCTATTGACAACTGTTCAACAGTTAGGTAACAGACAAAAATCTTCTACTATTGAGGACCATTTTATAAATACCTCCCTGATTGTCACCTATGCATATTTGCTTTAGATTCGAGTAATTATTCTAGAAACATGGTAGTGTACATGATGTTGGGTCAGCATAGACCAGGTTTCGATGCAGTTAGGTGTGAGGTTGTTGGCGGTGCTACGGCAATACAAAATATGGACACCCCTTAGTAGGCAGTGACATGCGTGATAGCCCCCGGTTTCAAAGGACAGCATTATACTCGAAACATCTACCACGCCGCTGTAAAGTCTACATGCGTGGATTTTACTAAGAAACTGAGGATCTCAGCTTACTGCTAGTTACCTTACCTAGGCACATAGATCTACATGCTGTTGGTTGGCGCTGTTATGGCAGTGCGATTGATTGCGAATATATAAACGAAGTCTACCTACATAGTCCGTCAGTGTATTCGAATACCACTTTCATTGCAATACCGGGCTTAAAAGAAGTTTCACTATCTCCAACATTGAGCTCAGTTAAATCATCAATATTCAATTACCACATTCTACCCACATTACGACGCGACGCGAAACGAGAAAATGCCGGTCACTGGGGGAGCGATTCTACTTGAGGCTTCCTTATGCGGGATCGCCGCCTACTTTCTTGTATCATGCATTATAGGCTACCTCTCCGTGTTCAAATTCACCAAACCCGTGACCTGGAGCTGGGGCACGATACGCGCTTTGCTCGAATGTGGTTTCGCGGTCGCCTACCTCTACCTTATGTTTTTCAGAATGGATGAGTGGGTTAAACTCATGAAGCGGCTTCTGGAGGTATTGGCGGAACCCCTATGATGGTGGATGGTGGGCAGTGGATGGCAAGCCTCGACTACGGAGACAACAGAAGAGCACGTGCTTTACGTCGCGCGAAGGAAAGGGAACGCTATGCGAAAATGTCGGACAATTGATTTAAACGAGAAAGGGGCACAAGACTTCTACGTGTAGTCACATATGTCACTCCGTGTATTACCAACGTTTCTGAAAATGCTGTACATTACGTGCTTGGTGTAAGCTACACTGAGCGAGCATTCACATTCATATACTCTGGCAGGGAAAGAAAGTCATGTACACCATGAATAGACTATCCGAGCCTGTACTGTTGCCATACCCACTGAGAACGCCAGAATCCATTGTCGGCAAACAACTTGAATATGTAAGCAGATACACTGTAGCTGATCCTTCGCTAAGGCGTCTTAGTAACGTAAGGTAGGTAGCGTCTGATTCGAACAGCCATATGTCCCTAAAGGCATGTTCAGAACCCTTAGACTTATAACTTCCCCTTTGCCTTCATCTGAATTCGTAGCTTGGGAACTAACGGCTCATCATCTGAGTCAATTGGCTCCAGATCAGCGGCAGAGGGACGAGACTTCTGGCTGCGTGGCTCGCAAGCTTGGTTGTCGGTGTCTGAATCGGATGAAATGACAATGACGTTGGAATGGGCGTTCTTCGTGCGACTGGGTCCCGGGCTCATTGCTCCCACCACAATACAGTCCGCGATGGTCTGGGATGATTCCCCTTCCTCTGAGTCGGAGTCAAGTATTCTTCGGCTTGTCCTGGCCTTCTTGAAGGGCGAGATGATTGGCTCGTCGTCACCGGAGCTGCTTAGAGCGTGTCGGCGGCTAGGACTTGGTTCGCTGGTGGGAGAGATGGCATGTAGTCGGGAACGTTTCATGAAGTATGGCGTAGATCCATGTTTGGATTTGTCTGGAGTCTTCTTGGTTGGCGACGATTTGACGATCTCGCTCAGGGATGGTAGCGAGTCGTCCGAGTCTGCACCAACACCATCCTGATCTGACGGAACGTGGACCGTCTCTTCCTCTTCGTCTTCTTCGTCGGAAAATAAGTCATCGAGATCACTCGCCTCGCTCTCCTCAATTTCCTCGTCACTTCGTACCACAAAACCGTCGTCCGAGTCGTAAGATTCGTCGTTGTCTGATGCCGGCCTGTCGTCGTGTGGACCGAGTCTTTCTCCGGTTGGGTTCACGATCATGGCTGGAGCTCTAGAAGCAGGGACTCTCCTTGGGTGCTTTCGCCTATAAGCTCGGTATCTCTCTTCAATGTTCCTGAGTGCTGGGGCCCAATGACGACAATTCCGTAGCAACCAGCGCCATCTTTCTGGCCTGGTGTACAGGACTCGTAATTCATGTCCCTTGTACTTGCCGAACCATACCGTAGTTGACAGCGGACTTTTTCTTTCATCCAGCCGGCGCATGTATTCATCATGTAATTCTCTGAAAGTGGCCCACTATGGAGAAGTTGAGTTAGCTTCTAGAACGCTTTGCTTGAAAGAGAGGTAATTGGACTTACGTTGTCGGAATTATTCTCCAAGGCGAAACGGTACATCGTCCATCGGTAGTGATCTGTGAGCTGGTCCAGCCGTGTGCCTTCGAACTTTCCAAACCACATGATCGTCGCACCGGGCTCTTCAGGGTCATACCCACCGTCATGAGGTTCCTCCTCAGGATCAACTTGGCTATTCTGCATTGTGTCTTATGCGCGGTAACTCGACGCCTCTTGTGAACTTATGCGTATTCGTGCGAGATACCCTTCTCACTCAAAATAATCACTGTTTAGAAGTGGAACAAGTTCCTGGAGGACCGAAGCTTTGCGTTATAGAAGGTAGCAAACGGTTGTGGAGCATATGCGAACGGGTTTCAGGAATGCCTGATACAATATGACTCGTCATTTAATGGCAGTGGTCAGCTGAACACAGGCCGGGACGCCCCCGGCAGCCACCTGCGTTGTGATTGATTCTTGGGTCTTCAGAGCGGATAGGTGCATAGCAAGATCGGTGGGGGTAAATTCTCAGGGAAGTTATGGACGCCGCCAGCTTGCGCCGGAACCTCTGCAGATCTAGACTTTTAGGTATCATGTACCCCAAATGGAAGATAACTACCTCTAATGTACTTTAACCAGGTCAAGAGATCTTGACGTTATGTGGTTATCCTAACTACGGTTCTATGTCCAGAATACACTAGGAATGATATCAGGTTATTTCATAAATACCTCTAGGATAGGGTGCTTGCTCATTAGGTAATTGCCAATAGTAATGAAATAGGTACCTAAATACCATTAAGACCAACGCCTCGGCCTGCTAGCTCTTATTCCTGTAACGCCACGCGAGCATTTTCCCTCTTTCCCCTCCTAAGCACCATGACGCATGTGAAGATAATGCAAAGCTCTAAAGTAAATATACAGAGAAGTTGGTCATATAGCCCTAGCATAACCCAGAATGTTGACCCTACGAAGGACAAAAGATAACCCCTTTACTTGGATCTACCCGCAGCTACGATCTTCTGGTTGGCCCTTTCGAGCTTTGCCCTAGCCTTCTCGTCCAGCAGATTGAACCACGAACGCATGTTCGCTACATAAGTCGTCTCCTTTTCGCCATATTCGACGGGCGGCCCCTTGATCTGTGCCAGCTGGTCATCGTGATCAAAGATGGCCCAACTCGATTCATCGTTCGTGCGCAAACCGAACCCCTTATGCTGGAGCGAGACGACGGTAAAGTTGCGAAGAAGTACGACATCGCCAGCATTGACAATCGGTAGAGTTTCTTTGTGCGGTCTATAAAGTTGTACTTCCACGACTGAATGAGGTCCGATCGAATGATCTGTAATGGTAAACGACATCATGAACTCGCGCGGACCGCCCTTAGCTCTTTGTGGATCCGGGGGTCGCATCATGGCGACGGCGATTACATCCAGCTTCTTTTGGAGATGTTGTCGTAATACTTTCAGGGATGTGCAGTCCGGTAATTCGTCCCGAAGGTGACGGACTAGCTTCAATTTCGCCGCTGTCATTGAATTACTGTCTTCTTCCGTCTGTGAAGCCTTGCTAAAAGAGGCTCTCGCTAGCTGCACACTTGAATCCTCTGCAACAGGTGTCGAAGTTTCAACCATAGGAAACTTCTTGCTGTCTTCATGAGCCTTTCTTGTAGTATCATGCTGCCTTGTGTTTCGCTTAGAAGCATTTGCAGCTCGGGCAAGCTGTACACTTGGGTCTTCCTGCGATGCTTGATCGGGCGTATCAGTTTGCTCGATCACTGAAATATCTTGTTGGCTTTCCCGTCGTTTTGACTCCTGGGTGCCGAGTTCTGGAGATGGAGCTCTGGCAACCGAGGGTTGCTGGGGTTCGGATCCCGCGCGAGCCTCATCATTGTCAGTAAGATTAGCCTCGTCTTCATCGTTTTCGAATTGCTCATCAATCCCACGCTCGTCTGTCGTCTCCGTATTCGCGTCTTCGAATTCCTGGGAATACTCTAATATACTAGCCTGCAATTCTTCGTCAACTTCCATCTGTGATCTGAACGACACGCTAGCTCCAGATATATCAGCATCGGTATCCGAGTGTGTATCACCCTCAGTCTCAGTCTCGACAACAACCTTAGGAGCGGGTTCGGCGTAACTCGCTCGAATGTCGTCGGCATCGACTTGAGT